AATCAAATTTTTTATTCTTCTGTGAGGCACACCTTGTTTCTTTTTTCGAATTTTGCTAATTAAACCAGTTATAAATTTTAAGTAAACAATTAAGGTTTTCCGAATTATATAACAGTTTTTTTACAAGTGCAAAAGCTAGATCAGTGTTTGCTACACATTTTAAGCGATAAGGCAGGTACATTAAAATTATCGTATTTAAATGTAAAGTTCAACACTAATCACAATCAGAAAAAATGGCAGACAAAATCTCCCAGTTTGAAAACGGTGTATGGTCCGTAAACTGAACATGCTTAAAGAAATAAGCATAAATTTACATTCAACCTAATACGTACAATGATATATTATTAATATCGAGTTAAACATGCTATAACGAAAATTCTTCTAATTCCGTCATATAAGTTTTAATTATCCTTTATATTATATCCATATTAGAAAAACTATCGGACTGACCATTGACTCCATTATATAGCTATTTTGATATATACACCTCATCTCCGTTATATCCTCAGTTGACTTTAGTCAAAAAAAATTTATAATATTAATGTAGATCTACCGTATAAAATGATCTCATTAAAATGCGCTATCACTATATCATGAAAGATTTCTGCGTACATGTATACCGCAGAAACGATAATTATTACACGCAGTGACATTATCAAAAATAAATACGCTAAGCGTTTCATCGTTGCCTACGTAATTTTTTACAAAGTTTAACTTGACCTCCAAAAAAAAAAAAAATGGACGCTTTACTTATTCCGTTAATTCTAGACGAAGTTTTAGAACAAGTCGCTGTATCTTGTTCTCTAAAATCACATTTCGAAGGCAAATTCTCTACTCGAGATCTTTTCAATTGTATTCTAGTCAATCGTACTTGGTGTCGAGTAGGGATTCCTAAATTATGGAGATCCCCATTCAGCACCAATTATTCAAGCCAATTTCTTCCAAGAAATTCTAAATCGCAAAACATTCTATACACGTTATTTCGATCTTTGAAAGCAGACGATATAAAACCACTTCATCAAGTTGGCGTGACGATCGAGACTCCGATTTCCCGTCCATTATTTCCATATGCGAGATTCTTAACTGGGCTTTATTATCAAGGATTACTCGAGACGGTTGAGAAGTTGCGATCTGGATTGGAACATTATAGATCCTATACCCATAGGAAATTGAAAAGATATAAAATTTATCCGGAAGAAAAGAAAGTTAAATTAATGCCCGAAGAATTTGATAAATTGGTGTTGATGATGCTGCTACGACATTTTGCGTTGAATTCTATGGAATTTTCCGCGATATTCATTTCTGATCACGCTTTTTACGGCGATAGACGACTTGATTTACTTTACGAGGATGAATTTAAGGATTGGTTTGCAAAGACGAAAACATTCATCTTCAAAGGATATCTTCCTCAATATGTGAAATTTTTTAAAAATATTTCTGGCATTTTTAATTCCTTGGTTGGTATCAATTTTTTTTTGACATGAATCATTATTCACAAATCTTGATGTTTTGCTCACATTTCCTCTATTGAAAAAGGAACGAATTGGTCTTTTTAATCATCGCAGAACCCATATGTTTCGTGAGGAAGAAATACGAGCATGTGGACTATCAATCGCACGATTTATCCTTGCGCAAAAGAATCTCTCTACTCTAAAGATCAGCGAACGCCCTGGATACACGAAATACCTCATTCCTTTTTTAACATCACAGGCGGATTCGTTACAAGAAATCGAAATCTCGTTTTCAAATTTTGCGGATAGTTTCCCTTGGGATGGATTAGCGACCTGCAAGAAATTGCGAGAACTTCGTTTTGTTAAATGTCAAAATGTTAGTACAGAGATTTTGAAACCTATGTACGCGGTTGATTTTCCCTTCCTACAAAAAGTCAAAATTCTTCGCGAAGAGAAAAAGTCAAAACAGACTGATCAAGAGCTGGTTAAGCTGTGCACAAAGCTTAAAGGTGACATTAAAAAGTAGAAAAAACTTGTTCAAATGAATAAACACGCGTTAGACTGTCAAATCAATTACATGTGACACAAATACACAAATCCTTTCAACATGGACCCAATTGATGTATTATTGTAATTGTTGTTGAAGATGATGTTAGTTTTTGTGACCCTTTCAAAAAAAAGACTACCAAATTAAAATTAAAAAAGAAATACAGGAAATGTTACAAGTTGGTTGTTGATAAAGTAGGAGGTAAAAGTATATGTCATAGCATATACATATTATATAGGAAGGCGGGAGGTTTATGTTATTAATATTAATACTATATGTTAAAAAATAATAGTAAAATAAATGTATTAAAATTTACAGACAACATTATACTAAAATA